GAAGATGAAGATGAAGATGAAGATGAAGATGAAGATGAAGATGAAGATGAAGATGAAGATGAAGATGAAGATGAAGATGAAGATGAAGATGAACTCCCCAACTAATGTTATTTCACCTCAACTCAACTCATATGTACTGTCCTTAATTTTAGCAGTTGAATTTCAACCGCTGGGCGAACACTAGTATGCTTAATTTGTTAAATGGCCCATCAAGTCGATTGACTGTGTATGTTCTTGTGGTGTGATTGTACCAGCTGCTGGTGTCGTGAGTGGTGAAATTAGCTCAATTTTCTAAGTAAAAAGTTGGGGGAAATTTCTTGCACTATATGAGTCAAAGCCGTGTTTGTGGAAGATTAAGTTCCCGATATTGCAGTTGTGAATTAAAAAAAAAAAAAACAATGTTTAACAAAATGGTAGACACATTATGAAATTTCGGCTCTAAGCATTTCGATCTTTCCTCGACCTCATTTGTAAATAAATAAATATTGTACCAGCATGCTGGTAAGTTATATGCTGGAGCCAGCAAGCTTGTGTCGTATATTTCCCCTTTTATACAAAAAGGTTTTTGGTTGGATAAAATATGTGCTTTTTTCCAGAGTTCATTGTTTTTCTATACCATTACTTATTGAAAATGCTTGCGTGTACACTTATATATGTAGTAGGGATGTTACGAATGTGGAATTTAAACATCCGCGGATGCGAATGCGGATGCGGATGTTTAAAAGCTAACATCCGCGGATGCGAATGCGGATATCAAGTATTTTAAAAAAATAATTTAGGTGTGTCAATTAGGTGATTTAGGTAAATAAAAAATGGAAAAGGTAGTCATTTTAAACAATGTTTTTTTTTTTTAATTTAGTACTTGAATTTAAAAATTGAAATTGGGTTAAAGCCTGTTTCTTAAAGTGTCGTAAATCAAACCTGCGCCACTAAATAACTACTCGCGCAAGGCGAATAACTTGAAACTTGACAAAATTGTAAATTCTCCCCAATAACTCCTTTCTGAGAATTGCATCGGCGCTGCAACTGTGCCTTTCATCTTCACAATCTAGCACCATGAAAAGATCGTTGTTTAAACACCGTTATTTTCCATAGAATTCTTCATTCTAATTATTTTGGTTGTTTCAGAATTTGGAGAACCTGTAACATCAGCGATTTTCGATTTTAGTTTTTGTAACTCACTTTTAGTATTTTCTGCTGTGACTGGTTTGAAAAATGTGTGCTTATAGCGAGGTTGTAAATAGGTGGATATGGAAAATTTTCTGAGCATGAAAATTTCGAAGAAAATTCAGTTCTAAAGTCGTGGCTGCCAGCAGAATTAGTTTAAAGTCTTGTTTTTTTTTTTT